CAGGACTCAGATCCTGAGATCCCACATCAGCCATCACCTGGGCAGGTGAGCACCGCCTCTCCCCGTTCTCCCCTGCCCTTCCGTCCCTGCTTGACACAGCTGTCACAGACATCTTTTCATGAAAAACCTTTCATTAGGAATTTTTCCTGCTGAGAGGCCTCAGCAACAAAATGTAAGCAACCGTTATGTGCTGCTGTGGAATGCAACAGGTGCATCTGTGATTGGCCCATCTTGGATGTTTGTTATTAATGGCCAACCACAGCCCAGTTAGCTTGGACTCTGTCTGAGACACAAGCCTTTATTCATTCCTTTCTATTCTATTCTTAGCCAGCCTTCTGAGATGAAACTTCTCCTTCTATTCTTTTTAGTATAGTTTTGATGTAATCTATATAATAAAATAATACGTCAAGTCTTCTGAACATGGAGTCAACATTCTCATCTCTTCCCTCACCTGAAAACCCCTGTGAACACCGTCACACACACAGCAAAGCCAGAACACAGATAAAGAAATTACAACACTTAAAGACTGAACATGCCAGCGAGAATTCCCCTTTTCCTGCATTGCACAGATAATTCAACCCCTCCTACTCACTTTGGTGTTGGCTGTCTGCTGGGTTTCTTTCGCAGCCTGCAGGGAAGCAAAACACAAAGATGAGTCTGTCTGAGGCAACGGCAGCACCGCAGTTCCACAGGCCAGCAATTGTCTGTGGCACCAATTATTTTATTTTTAGTGAATGTGTGTGCAAGTCCTGGCTCCTGCAGCCATGGAAACTGATCCCTGGAAGAGTGGAGGCTGCTGGAAGGAATGCCAGGTCCCATCCTTGTACCTGCACAGCCTGGTGGTGCACTCTTTGTGCTTGTAGTCCTCAACTTGTTCTTTAAAAATATGTATATTTATAAATGTATTCCCATATTCACATTCCCATTCAGCTCAGGTAAATAAGTACAGAGAATTTAAAGGTATTAAGAGATTTTTCTGTGTCTGCAGCTTCCAGTGCTCAGGGACACAGAGCTGGGAGTTTTCCATGGGAATCCCACACCACCATCAGGGATGTGCTCCTGCCACCTTCCAGCAGGAGGCTCGGGTGTCTGCGATCCAAAACAGGCAGCACACGAAATGCTGGAAAAAACCCAGGGCACGGAACAGCCCTGAACTGGAACTCGAGCAGGAGCTCTGCAAAGAGCAGCTCTGCAGGTGCTGGGGGCTGGTCCCACCCAGCCTCTCATTTTTGGCCATGAGGTGGGATTTCCTTCAGCACAACCACGCAGTGATGGGGCTCCTGATTTCATCAGGATACACAAATTTCATCAGGAGCCAGTTAAATTCCTCCTTGGCCAAGGATTTTGGCTGCATCTCCTACCCCTCACACTGAACAATGACCTGAGCTGTACAAAACCCCACCCAACCCACCTGGCCAGGCTCCAATAGCCTGGGCAGACTTTGGGAAGCTTTCCACAGAACAGGTGAGACATTTTGCAGGGCAGGTGAGATATTTTGCAGGGCAGTTACTTTGCAGGAGCCAAGAACTTCTTTTTTGTGGTCAGTTCTGACAAACAACATCCAGAACAGGAGGTGAGAACAAGGGTGAGGATGGCTTCAGCATTAGTGCTGCAAGTGAGGGATTCACCCTTCTCTCCCAAGGGAAAATTCCACAAATCAGCACAGTTATATGCAAAATTAGCATGGAATGAAGGGCGAACATGCATGGATGGGAAGAGCATCACAAGCTGCTTTAGAGTTAGGATTTTGTAACACAGGAGCATGAAAAACAATGTTTCTGTTAACTACAAACTCTTTCAACTTCCATTAAATATTCCAGGCACTCGTCTCACTAAAATTTATTGCAAGATTAATTATTGGAATGGAATCTTAAAAAAATGCCAGTCAGGTTCGGTTTTTACCAGAAAACCTTAATTCATTATGAACAAGTAATTAATATTTTAATTTTATTAAGAAATGAAGCTGAGATACCAAATTTAAGCTTTTTGGAAGAACTGCACACTTGAAGTCCTTAGGAATACTATTATTCCTTCAGTAATATGCAGATGACTTTTTTTTCCCTCAAAAATGAGATAGTGGAAAGAACATTTTTGGTTTTAAAACGTATTAAAGATTGGCCTATGCCCTTGGTTATAAAGCCCCCTACTCACCAGAAATTCCACGTGGGTGTCTGGAGGGAGAATTAAATATTAATTATGTTCCTCCCCCACTGGAAGGGTCCCTGCTTCTGCATTCTCTGGGCTAAAAAGCTGCAATTCTCTGCTTGCCTGCCATGATTATCTTCAGAGAGTGCAGAAATCTTCAAACACAGAGCTTGAGACCAAAATTTTTGGTAATTGCTGGTTTTTAACATAAAAGTTTATGTCCTCTGAAACAGCCATTTGCTTGACTGTGCATTTTAAGCTCTTCAAAGTACCCATCAAACCCAGATTTTTTTTTTCTACTTCAAATGAGAACTAAAATAAATTAATTTTCTTGCTTGCAAGGAGAAATCCCTATTTCTGCAGAAAATTTCATGTTCCAGCTTCCTCTGTGCTGTATCAGATGCCCCAAAATGCCAATTTCAGGTGTACATTAATGACATAAAACCTGACCTGTGGCTGGGTTAAGCTCCCAAACCTCTCTGGTCTCAGGCTTTGGTCACCTCCATGCAATTCATTGTTTGTCAGCACCTCTGGTTCTGGTTTTCAGTGGCCAGGGGGGTTTGGTCAGTGTTAGTAACTGGCAGGAATTATCGCTCCAGGGATTGCTCCAGAACCCCGAGCTCACAGAGGGCCCAACGAGAGGAAGGTGCAGCTCAGGATGTCCCCATTCCCCCAGCACAGAAATGCTCCCCCAGGGACCTCCCGAGCTCTGCACATCTGCCCAGATGTTGGCTGGAACTCCTCTGTGTGTGTGTGCCAGGAGCCAGCTGTGGTTCCTCAGGGTTCTGCTGCTCCTGGAGCTCCATACCAACCTTGTGCCTAAAGAGTTTGCTAAAGGTGCCGTGGCCCAGCTTGGGGCTCTCTGCCTTCTTTTTCTTGGCTCCTTTGGAGGGGGATCCTGGTGCTGCCTTCGGGCCGGGCTGTCCCCCAGCGCCCTTCTCCGCCTTGGAGCCCTTGTGCACAACAGCAGGTGCAGGTGAGTGTTTGCTGCAGATATTTGCTTTAGCAAAGACGTTATTCCATCATCACACATGTGAGGTTAAAGGAAAATATTCCCTCTTAGCTCTGGAGAAATAGTGGGTTTTTTTCCCTGAGTGATTTCTCAGCTCTCCTCAGAGTTCCTTTCACATGAGCAGCAAAATAAAAGCCAAGGCAATCCACCTGATTCCAAATTAAATCACAACCTTCCCTCTAAAATCTCCATTAAACGGAAACCTAAATCCCACAAACATCTGCCTTTCCAAGTCATGAAGAAGCAATTTAGGATTTATAATTTTTAAAATTATTAAATTTTAAAAATTTTAAAAATTATAATATAAATATATATAATTATATATTTATAAATAAATAAAATATATATAAAATATATAAATATATAAATATTTATAAATAAATAAAATATATATATAAAATATATAAATCTTTGGAGGAACATTCAGTCTTTTTATTGCAGCATAATAGGGACTTTAAAATGTTTTATATAATGCATTATTTAGGAAAAGGGCAGTGTGAATATTCATGATATACACTGCCTAAAACATTTCAAGCTTGCATTAATGTCCTTGAAATTAATTAATTAATTGTTCGAGGTCTCAGGCTTTAAAGCAGGAAGATGCCTTTGGTTACCTGGCCTGGAGGAGAATGAAGGATTATTCCTTACTAATTCTCACAGCAAAATTACCCTTATTCCTGCAAAATTCCTGCAATTCCTGAACACAGAGCGACACAGGATCAGCTCAGGTCCTGTCACAGGAGGGTGAGGTCAGTGATTGGGGCAGACCTTGTCCAAACAACCTCTGGGTTTGTAGGAACTGCCTGAGCTGGTGTGACCGGGCTCTGAACGGGTGTGGGCACAGAGGAAGGGACGGGCACCGAGGGACAGGAACTGAGGGATGGCCACCAAGGTGGTGCCTCAGGTTTTGGCTTTTCTATTTTTCACATTCTGTGCTGCTTTAGTGTGTGGGTCTGGGTTCACATTATGGGACAGTGAGCTCTGTGCACAGAGCAGGGAGACAAAACAATTCCTGCCCCAGCTGGGCACCAAGGACAAATGACCCAAATCTCAGCCCAGAGCACAAACCCCGTGGGCTGGAGAGAGAAAAACAAGGATGGGACTGGATGGGCTAAAGCTGGGATGGGACAATGAACTGCAAGGTGCAAATGGAGCAGAACTGATCCCAGGGACAGAGCCCGTGCCCCTCGTGCATTTTGGGGCCATTTTGGTTCATCTTGGGTGCAGCCCTGGCTGGGCTCTGGTGCTGCCCAAGGTGCATCCATGGAGGAGATGCTTTGGATAAATCCCTGCTTTATTCCTTATCTCCATCCAGTCTCAGTTCCAGCTCAGCCTGCACAAGACATCAGAGGGACGGCCACCACCAAGGGTAGTGGTCATCTGGCAGCACACATGGCCCACAGCTGATTAGAGCTGCAGCCAGCACTGATAAGAGCCTGACCCTACAGAAACAGAAAGTTCTTCCTCCCCCGCAGAGGGTGCTGGGGCACTGCCCAGGCTCTCCAGAGCTCATTCCCCGCTCCAAACCTTCCAGAGCTCCAGGAGTGCTTGCACAAGGCTCTGGGTGGGATTGTTGGGGGTCTGTGCAGGGCCAGGGCTGGATGGACCTTTGGATCATTTCTAGCTCCAGGATATTCCATTATCCTGTCATTTGAAGGCACAGCAGCCACCCAACACCCCCATGGCACTCAGGAAAACTTCACTTAGCAAAGCTTTACCTTTAACACACTTCAGTTGTTTTTTTGGGGGTTAAAAAAAAGGACCATTATTTCCTATCAGCCAAAAAATCAGCTTTTCTACCTGGGAGCTGATAAATGAACCTCCTCAACGTATTTCCCCTTTATTGAAGTCCAAATGCCATATCAGATAAAGGAATTCCCAATAAGAGAGAACTCCCTCTTAATCTCCTGTAAGGAGTTTGCACATCCTGCAAGTCAGCCGGCTTTGTTTGCCCTGCCAGGTGTGCCAGCAAACCAAACCCACCCAGAATATCCCTGTCCAAATGACAGCAGCACCAAAAGTCACCTGGCACAGTCAGGGAAGGAAATGGGGTTTTACATCCAAACCGGATTGTTTCCATCCAAACCGGATTGTTTCCATCCAAACCGGATTGTTTCCATCCAAACCGGATTGTTCACCACCTCTGGGAGGAGCTGCACGTCTCCCTGAGCCAGAACACTTTAATAACAGCATTTTCTGCATTGCTTGGAAAAGCTTCACCCTATCTGATGATTTTCAGAGTTACTCAGAATTATTGAGAATAATTTTCAGAGTAATTCAGAATTAAATCCCCCACGTACTCACCAAGCTTGCTGCAAAGACTGAATAGGACAAAAGAATAAAAAAAATAGGAGAAAACTCAAAAATGTTGTGATTTTGGCTAATATCTGCATGGAAAAAACACTTCAATTTTTAGGGGTTTATTCCTTGTTTCTCAATAAAGTTTTTTCACAGCACAAGGAAAACTGTTCTAGAGCAAACAGAACTTTTTTGTGGACTCAAAATTTTGAAATTTTAAATCAAAGACAAGTCAGAGAAACAACCAAAACCATCACCAATCATCACCAAGCTTGCAGAAAACACAACAGATTTTGATTGTAACAGACGACATTAAGAATTGCACTGTTCAGTCTCCTCCTTTTCAATTTATCCAGGGGAAAAATATTTGAAATGACTTCAAATGATGCTATCAGTTAGGGAAAAAACCCAACAAAATGAAGAGGAAATCCCTGTGTGAAAAACACCTAATGACCAGTGAACAAGGAACTGCCTACCTTGTCTTCAGAATCACTTTTGGCGTCAGCTTTGCTTGGGGAGACCTTAAAAGAATTTGAGAAAAAACAGTCACTCAACCCAGCCTTTCAAAGGGTCAAAAAGATAAGTTTGAAATCAGCAGGTATTATTTGCACAAAGGGAAAATACAAATATTGCTTGCCTCAAGTGGGAAAATTGATAATGCAAATATTCCTTGAGAACACATAATGGCTATGATGAAAAATGCCTGGATCGAATATTTACTATTCAAGCTCCTAATCAATTAATGAAAATGAATTTTTAGAGGTGGTACAAAAGGAATATCAAGCAGAAAGTCTTTGAGACAGTTCCAGATCTGTATAATCTGTGTAGAAGTGGAATTTTGCAGAGCAGGTGGCACTCACTTGATCATTTCAGTGTCCCCCTCCTCATTCCCCCAGGACAGAGAACATTTCACATTTATTTATACATTTTTACATTATTTATTTAAATTTTCCAATCCCACAGGGGATTTTTGGAAGCAGCTGAACCCCAAAGAGAGGGAAAGGAAAGGCAGAACTTACCAGAGTTTTGAGGAAGCTCATGACTGAGCCCTGTCCTGCAGCTGCCTGGGGACTGTGCTGCTCTGCCTGTGCCCTGCCAGGTGCAGCCAGGTCTTGTTCACCTGCAGAGTCCTGCCCAAGCTCCTTCTGCCTGCACTCATCTATCTCCTAAAAAAGAAAAGGGGGCACAGATTGCTCGGTGCCAGCTCGCCCGATTCCCCGTGGAATGCAGAAGTGCCTTTTGTGACTCGCTGGGAGTCACAACAGCAATTCCAACCATTCCTGGCCAGCCCACGGGCAGAACAATCCAGCATTTATCCTCTCCTTCCCCTCTCTGCTCAGACACAGCACTGCTGCTGCTGGGGGGACGCTGCTCTCAGCCACAGCAGGCACAGGGCGAGCCCCAAACTCCACTTTTGGCTTTTCAAGGCTGAGCTTGTGAAAAACGGCAGCAAATGCTGAGATTTTGGCCCTGCCAGCTCCGTGTCTGAGTGCACCTTACAAAGATGGATTCTGATTCTCTCTTTTGCCATGCCAGGAATCATTTTTATCTATTAAACACCAATGTGACACACATTAAAAGAAGGAAAAAGGCAGCAAATCAAAGTAATTCCTGTTAGCCAGACAGAGCAGCCTCTTCTCTTCATGGAATTACACATGGAATTACACTTCCCAGAGCCCCAAAACATTTTCCAGTGCTCAAGCACTCACAAGTAGGTAATATTAAGGAAATTGTTTTCTGTTTAGACACCTGGACAAGGGTCTGCTCCTAAAAAACCTTCTTGAACCAGTTTTGGAGAGTTTGGCACCCCTCACACTGAATTTACCTTCCATTTTGGCCACCTTTGCCTTGAGCCTGCACAGGAAAGCTCAACAAAAGTGTTGTGCAGGAGAGAGTGACATCAAAGGATGTCTAAATGACATCAAAGTCATTATTGAGTGACATTATTTTTCCCTAACCAGCCCATTATAGCTCAGTGGTTTTTTTAGTGGGAAGAATAAGAATTAAAGTGTTCTAAAGAACCTTTCCCTGTGCTGAGTGATTAAAACACCACAATAATTGTATAATATGGATTTCCTTATGTCACCAGTGGAAGGAACAGACTTTAAATGGTTTAAGATTTCAGAGGGATGAGGCCAGCTGGGTGTGGGGTGGGCAGTGCCAGCAGAACACAGGGAGTTAAAGCATCCATTGAAATGCCAGAGGGGACCTCAGTGCCATTCCCCACCCACCCAGCTTGCAGGCTGGCCCAGGAGCAGCAGAGCAGGGCTGGAACGCTCCCAGGCACTGAAGGGGCTCACACAGCACTCAGTGCAGCTGCCAGCCCCAGCGTGGCCCCAGAACAATCTGTCCCATGCAGGACACGCGTGCCCAGGGTGGCACACGCAGCTCTGGGGCCATGGAAAATGCTGGCTCTGCTCCAGGGGTTCAGGGGACACTGAGGCACGAGGAGGAGGAGGCTGATGTGCTGCTGAACAAAACTTCACAGCACAAGTGCTTGGTGCCATCACACTCTTTAGAGCTGGATGCTATCAAGGAAAAGAAACAGATTTAATAAGTTTTTGGAATTACAGAAAGCCCAATGCATCCCTTGGGGTGCATTTCAGGAGGGAGCTGCACGCAGCTGCTTCCAGCACCCCTGGCTGATCCAGGACTGAAGCCACTGCAGATCCTGAGGATTGGGGCCATCCCAAAATCCCTGAACTCCGCTCACAGCTCAGATGTGTCCCATTTGATGTGCCCATTTCATCTCCCTGTGTTCTGCTGGCACTGCCCACCCCACACCCAGCTGTCCTCATCCCTCTGAGGTTTTAAAGCATTTAAAGTTTATTCCTTCCACTGGTGACATAAAGAAATCCATATTATACAATTATTGTGCTATTTTAATCACCCAGCACAGGGAAAGGTTCTTTAGAACAATTTTATTCTAATTTTTCCCACTAAAAATGTCCCTGCCCAAGCCAAGGCTGCCTTTGGCTACAGAGGATCCCTCCAGCCTGGCCTTGGAGAGGGGCTGTGCTCCATCCTGTGCTCCCATGGGAATGCTCCTGCATGGGAATGCTCCAGGAACAGCCCAGGCTGGGGCCATCAGCACAGAAATCAGGCACAGAGAACGCACAGCCCTGCAGGATCGAGGCTGCAGAGCCACAAAATCACCACAAAAGCCTCTGTGGCAGCTCCCTGCTCAAAGCCCTGGGGGTAAATCATGAAAGAAACCCCAGGAATAACAGAAGATCAGTACTAGGAGTTAATAGATGCTATGTAAATGTTCAATTCATGTCTTTGAGAAGCTAAATTTGGGGGTAATAAACACCTTAAATATACTGTAGTTTCAGTTCAGTCATCAGGAAAAAAAAACCCCAAACATATCAAAAGAATGCATTCCTGCCAGCACTTTTGTTTGCATGAATCATGGCTCAGTGAAACATTTCAGGCATATAATTTATCTTTTCTTTGGCTTACATAGTAAATGCTTCATGAATTCATGAATTCTGCCCTTGTTTTAATTATGCTGCGCTCTGAATGTAGTTTTGTAGACCACAAAAATAAAGAGTGGCTCAGCAAACACAGAATGTTTGTGCAGCTCTTAAGCTACAACTGTGGAGCCTCTCTCTTACTCACCAGCAACGCTGTTTGTTTTGTCTTGGCACTCAGTGCAGGGAAACTTTGCTTTTAGCATTTACAGATACTACAAGTCATAATCCACAAAGAAAAAAAAAAAAAAAGAGAGAGAGAAAAGAGGAGCTGTTGGCAGCGATATCTTGATTTTTAGTATGATTATTTGGTAACAGTTTGTAGTTTCTACAGTAACAGTAATTAAATTAGGCTTGGTCATTCTCCCATCCAGCAGGAGAATTGGAACTTCAGAGGGAACAGAAGGCAACTGTGCTGCAAGGCAGAGCCACAACCTTTGTTTTAGGGATTGAGTTAAATTTGGCAGCACGTTGCAATGTTTAGCTGATGTATTTTCCTCAAAAAAGGGGCTTAACTCCTCTCTGCCCCCACCATATATTCCTTTTCATATCTCAAGGAACCAATGATAAAATTAGAGCCCAAAAATTCAAGCATAAGTTAAAAATTGCTCTCCCTGTGATCCAGATGTGTCATTTATTTACCCAGTGAACCCAAATTTGGTGATTCCTCAAAGATGTCTATGGTGCAGCTTTTTGCACACACCTGGGAGGTGTAGAGCCATTTTTGATAACCACAGCTGTCCTTAGGAATGTTCCAGAAAGCTGCTGGGATCCTGCAGGCACTCCCAGCCAGCCCCAGCACCAAACAGGGCTCAGCTGTGCCTGGGATTTCCAGCTTATTCCCACCAGGCACCTCCAGGATGGGGATGGGCACAAGGGGACTGGGGCAGAACTGCAGGAATTAATAAGAAATCCAGGTGTTTTGATATAATAAAGCTTGGTCTGGATGAGCAGTGCTTCCCTGCTTGAGCTGGGAGAATGATTTAGATTCCCTTCAGTCCCTGAGCATGCACTGCCTCACCTGAGCTTTCAGCAGGAATGTTTGTTCCCAGCAGCGTTTAACTCTGAATTTTAGTTAAAACTGCTCCAAAATGTCCTTTCCTTGGACTTTCACAGCATTCCTTCAGCAGCACAACAGTGACCTTCCCCACTCTGTAAATGACAGCAGTGGCACTGCAGTGACAGCAAAGTAGGAAATGGGAATTTGGCATTTGGTGGGAAAAGAGAATTCCTGCAAGCCATGGCGAGGACTTGTTGTGTGTGGCAGCCAAAAATATCTGCAGGAATTTGGGGTGCTGAAAAGCTCCATTCTGAGAGGCTGAACACAGAAGTGCCAGTGTGCCCTGAACAGAGGATTCATTGCAGATTATCCACACTGTCCTGCTTAGGTGCTGAATGCCTTTATGGGTTCTTTAAATGTGCACCCCGAGCTGTGATGGGAGCACTCCTGAGGGGCAGGGATGGAAAATGCAATTGTTCCTTCTTAAAAATGAACCCTCAGGAAAATATTACAATGTGTACATTTATACAAGAAATGTGCTCTTCAAATCTGAGAAAGTCTAAGGTACAGAAAACAAAGATTAAAAATAAAAGAATTTTGGGGCAACTTGCAATGCTGGCAGTGTAAGCAGTGAGTATCTCATGAGTTAAGTTCAATGCTATCCAGAGCATTAGTGATCACCATCTTATTTGTAAGCCTGAACTGGCCAATAAAAGCAATTATTAAAGTGGTATTTACACACTGGTTTTCCCTCCTGTTTCTGACATTAGACAGAGTTTCAATTTGATCACCAATTCCTGTATTCCACCTCTCCAGCAGAACTCAGAGTTACTCCATTATTCCCTTTCAGACGATGGGCTTCTTCTGCAGTTAATTACCTGAAAATTATACCTTTTGTATATACTATACATCAGATCTGGCAGGAAGTGCAAAATCTAAACTCATATTAACTTCCAGCTCCTTTGACCAGAGTGCTCTTTCAATTAAGATCCATAGTTTCTTATATCACATCCTCATCCTGTAAAATCATTTCTAATGAACCACTTTTCCTTGACTAAAACATCACAATGAGCTGGAGTACAAAAATCATTGCTGCACAATATTCCTTATTTTGCTGAATAGGGTATCCTAGCTAGAGAAGTAGGGCTATTTTAAAAATGGCACAAAACACACCAAAGAACTTTTAGAAACCCATCCAGAGTCAAACTCCAAGAAACTGGTTTAGTTTCAGGTATTTTTGCTTCTATTTGCAGCTGGCAGCTGGAGCCGTGTTGCCCAAACCTTTTGGGGAATTATAAACTGAATTAAACTGGAGGTCAGGATTTAGTCATGAGACAGAGCTTCACTCCTTGGCCGCAGGTTCACCTTCCACACCTCTGTCCTGGGGCGTTACCTGTGGCCATTTTCAGGGCAACACTGACCCGTTCCCACCCCACATGGAGTTATCCCACGCTGGCAGTGGGGACAATGAAATTGTCAGTGACAATGGAATGAAAGGTTGTTATTTTATGAAGCACTTGCCTCACGCAGCGGTTCCCCGTGGGCCGCGATGCTCCCGTTGGGCACGTCCAGGCCCTGCCTGCCCTGCTCAGGGTCCCCTGCCGTCCTCGCCGTGCCCTTCTCCAGCCTGAAGATCCTGTCCAGGAGTGTCACTGCTCT